ATGAAAAAATCGCCTAACAACACATTTCTCAGAATGTATCCCCATTATTAAGTGACAAATGACTGTTTTGAGGAAACTCTGGATTCCATTATGTTTCTCCAAAGAGTATTGATTTTTTTTGTTTACATTTTTATTAAGCAAGCAGTTAATTTAGCTGGACTCAAACCTAAAATTCTTTCTTTTCTGTGGGTGGCAGCTCAAATTTCAATTCAGTTGTTAGTATTGGCTTAGTTGCTGTAAGTCTCCTCTGCCCTATATAGTTGAGGAGTCAGCCAGACATTTGGGAAGTGCTTACATACAGAATTTGTGGCTTCCCCTCTCTGGCTCTCTTATTCCAGGATACCCTGCACACCTCATTTTCCAACAGCAGTTGTATAGGCCTTGAACTCTCTTCTTGGAAAGCCTGTGGTTTTTCCATCAGAGTCTTAGCTGCCCTAAATAGTGCAGACTTGGATTTGCTCTCAGGGTAAAAGCCATAAAAAGTAGAAAACCGACTGTGTCATTTTGTTCTTCCAAACGTTGACCTATCCCCAGGATCTGCCTGATTTTGTTCACTCTCCACTACCTTTGGATAGTTTTTTAAATATTTGGTCTAGAATTTATGCTTGCTATCTGTTGGAGTTTTGGTGCAATAGGAACTACTTGGTCAGCAGATTTAAAATACTTCTATCATTTTTGCATTCTTCATATATGGTTGTTTACATGTCTATCCCACTAAGCAATGGACCTCTAAAGCAGTGTTTCCCAACTAAATCATGACAACTCATGAAATGTTTCACAGATAACTTGTTCTAGCAATTGATCAGCTTCCAAAGTCTAAAATTATTTTTTAAAAATCTGAAGAGTATTGGCATTATTACTATAACAGCCCTAGTCTCACCAGAACTGCAATGTTTTTCCTAAGCGGAAGGCAGAAATTGGAGTTGGAGCTAGTATGCTAAAATTCACTTAAGCCACAGCCTATCTGAACCACACAATGCAGACTGCTTCTTCCAGCACATATCCCTAATCAAATCTGCTCTTGCCTGCCTCTTCTACAAAGACTGGGGACAATCAACACTCTCTCAGTATTCCTTGCTGTTAGAGGTTGACACGAGGTACAGTTCTGGGCAACGGGACATAAGTGGAAGTCTGCTCTCCTTTCCAGACATAGGGGAAATACCTTGACTGGCAAAGAGGACATGAAGAGGTCAAGGAGAGTGAAAAGGTGGTAGGAGCAATGGACTTGAGGTCCTTGTGAGTTCAAAGCATTAGTAAAGTGACAACAATGAGGGTAAAACCTGGAAAAATAAGACTTGGTGATTAGAGTGTTTGAACTTGAGATTATAGATGGGTTTCAGTTTACTGGTAGTAAGATGTTCCCATTGGAGCCAGGGGCTGAGGTAGTGTGGAAGACAAGGTAATTGGTGGCATAGGGGTCAAGGAATTGGGAGGCCAGGTTTTAGAAGTGGATACAATACTCTGCAAGTAGTGTGACAAGAGTAGTGACAGAGGAATGAGGCTGGTTCTGGAGATAAAATCCTCAAAGAACAAGGAAGAATGAACAGATACTACTAGATGACTGTATGAAGAAGGAATCATGGGTAGTTTGATGACACAAAAATTAATGTGGGTGAGGGAGATTTTAGGGAGACGAGAGATAATAGTTTGGAAGAGGAAATAAACAAGAAAGACACCTACCCCATGTCCAAGCCTAGTGGTACAAGGAGTGTGAGAGAGAAAACAGGAGACATTTGAAAGAGTTTGAGTTCTTAAAGGAGAAAAAAACAACTTTCTTCATTGCAATTTCATAGTAGTTAAGAATGCCTCATTTACAGGTAGAAATAAATTGTCCAAGTCTCAAAGCAACTACATCAACTGCAGAGCTTGGTGGTAAACTGTCTCTGACCCTAGACATCTATACTCACTAGCTCTTTCTCTTTAGATTTTATATATATTTTAAATTCCTGGCATATTTCAAATATAAAGAAAAATACAAAGAATTTAACAAATATCCATTTACAAGTCGCCTAGCTTTTGTAAATCCACCCAATTTCCACCATGTATTATAATCTCTCCATTGATGTGGCATACCTACACAAAGGAATATAATGCAGTCATTAAGGATTAATTTCATGAAGGATGTGGAACAGATAAAACAACTTATTGTATATTTCTAAGGAGGTAAATGTCTATAAGGAAATCAATACAAATGAAAATATATTAGGCTAATTGTGGAATTATAGTTTGATCTTAAGTTTATCCAATTCCCATTTTTTTATAAGTCAAAAGATGGGGAGAGGGGATCCTGAAAGAGAATATAAACATAAAAAAAGAATCTAACTTTATTTCAAATGAGTAACATAATTGGATTGAATGGAGATATAAAGGAACTAGGCAAAGTAACTTTTAAACAAAGTACTTTGTCTATATACACTTGGCCTAAAGAGAAACAGACCTGTAAACAGATCCTGAATACAACCAGGTTTAGTTTTCACAGCTATATTATTTATCAACTCATACTACATGCTGTGTGTTGGAGGACTGAACAAATGAGCTAACAAATTGATGATACTGGGAGCCAATTTCTGAGTACTGGAGAAAGAAGTAAACATGGGCTAGGGAGACTAGAAAAACAAACGGACATTTGAAATTGAAGGTTATCAGTATTGTACACACACACATATATACACGAAGGATTGACATCCCAATAATAATGAGAACATAGCACCCAGCTGTTGGTTCCTAAATACCATTCCCCACTCAAAGGAATCAGGGCTTTATAGACTCTAGGTGGAGCAGACTATACACGATAAACCTGTTATCTTATTATACTAGATAACAAGGGTTCATACTGATGATAGACAGGTAGAGAGAGAAAAGAGAAAGGGGAGAAGGGAAGGCCCTTCTCACAGTAGCATGCCAACTGCTAAACACAGAGGGAACGATGGAGTAAGAAAGCCATCGCTTTGCAATCATCACTGTAAAGAACTGATTCAGACACAAATGCCAATGAACACTAAAACTAGTAAGTGAAAGATTATAATGGGGTAGTTATTACATAGCCGAAAGATCTCCCCACAAATTAGTTATTAATTTCAAAGGCAAAACAGCAGTTTTATAGTGGAGAAACTGAGGAGTCACCAGTTTATCCAAGCGATCGAAGGTAACATCACAGATGAAACAAATCCATCATGTTTCCTGCTGTAAGGCACTGAGAAGTATGCATCATTCATGTAGTACTCATGCCACAAACATTTAACTTGACTCTAGTCATGAGGCATCAAACCCAAATTTTAGGGATATTCTACTAACTAGCCTGTATTCTTCAAAGATACCAATTTCACGAAAGACAAAGAAAGGCTGTGGAACTGACCCAGATTTAAAGACTAAAGAAACATGACAATTAAATGCAGGGTACGACACATCTTAAGATTAGATCCCAACATACACAAAACTGCTATCAACATGTTACGGGACAACTGTGTAATCTGAATAAACTGTAGATTAGAAAATACTATAGCTATGTTATGGTCGTTTTAAGTATGTGTGCAAATTCTTTGATACTCCTCTCATCAAGAGGTGGAGTCCATGTCCCTCCCCCTTGATAGGCTTTTGTGACTGCCCCCACAAATTAAGTGAGGCAGAAGTGACACTGTAACTTCCAAGGTTAGGTTAGAAAAGGCTGTAGTACCTCTGCTGGTTTTTCTCGGGATGCTTTGAGCCACCACGTAGCGTCCAGCTACTCCTTCCAATAGGAACAATGAATATCCTCCCACATATTATCTCCATGTATATAATCACATCTTTAGGTATACATATTTCTATTACTTGGATAATATACACCAGGAAGGCTCTAACCTAGTTTTCTCATGAATGACAGTTCTTTGCCTCTCAATACAGATCTGTATCATCCTTTTCATGGCTGTATACTAGAACATATTTACTGAAATATTTTGCTGACACATTTCCTATTTTTAAAAATTCAGTATAAATATCCTTGTGTGCAGTCCTTCTCACTTTTGCTATAATCTCCTAAGCAAACCCTCTTGTGCCAGATCAAAGGTTATTCTGAGACACACTGACCAGCAAAGGTTGTTCACGTCTACCAAGAGAAGGTGTTGAACAGACTGCTGTGTAAATGGCACCCCATCTAAATTGTTACATTTAATAAATTTCAATCAAAATTTAACAGGTGTCTTGTCCCCCCTATTTTAGGGGGGAAGAATGGGGGTGGAATGTGACATTTCTGCCAAAGCCCCTGCCTAAAGAGGTCTGGATGAGGAAGGACTAGGCATAGAGAGGGCAATTTCAACTAAGCCTGAATGGAAAAAATGAGAAGAAACCAAGTATTAACAATTCAAGTTTACTAAGAAATTTTCTGTCAGTAGTAACTACTTTTGTCATCTTCAAATAGGTACAGTAAAACCCCACCTTAATGAATTGGGGTTCAAAATTTCCAATCATATAAATTGCAGTACCATTAGATTAATATTTTTTTCAGTCTATAAAACACAAACTGATGATACTATTACACTGAACAAAATGGATGATACACTGTACAAAGTGAGGCAGATGAGCATGGGAGCCACTCACAAGACTTGTCCAAATTTGTAGTATTGTGGATGGCAGTATTAATGATTTTCTGTACTTCAATCAATATTTCCTGAAACTAATCTTATCTATTAAGGCTACTGGCAGGATTCCTTTTGCATATGTCATTAAGGGTAGAGAAATGACTAGAATTTACAAATATCTGTCCTAATTATAGGGATCTTCTCCTCTTTGTTTAGCAATTGTTGGGCACCTATTGTGAGCCAAGCACAGATCTACATGGTAGAGATACAGTGGTGAAAACCACCCCTCCCTACACAGAGGTTATGTTGTTGTAGTGACATCTATTTTCTCCACCGTTATACTTTTGTTCAAGTCCTGCTCCAAATCTTCATTTATAAGCCCTCTCCTCTCCTGGGCAGACTCCAGTGAATTTTAAGATTCTTCTGTTGTGTTGCATCTTCAGAATTGGGACATTCAGAACTCTGGCACAGCCACTGACCATTTTTATAGGTTTTCTCTCATCTGTGAAATCTGATGTTTGCAAAGAAATAATCTCCCAGAGTCCTTAAAACACAGCATTTTATGGAGCTTCTTTCCCATGAAGATTCCGTGAAGCTTCTGAGTTCTGAAGGAACTTTGCACAATTATCAGCAAGGACTTTCCAGTGGAGATGAAGATGTGAACTCTAACTGGAAGATTACCACACCTCACATTTCTACAGACTCCCTCCACTGTGGACTCTCTGATGGTATACAAGATGTGACCTCTGGCTGAATCCCTTACAACACACATCACATATGTATGGTCTCTCTCCAGTGTGGACCCTCTGATGTGTGTGAAAATGTGAGGCCTGACTGAAGCCCTTGCCACACTGCTGACACATATAGGGTTTTTCCCCTGTGTGGACCCTCTGATGAGCACTGAGCCCAGCACTCCAACTGAATTCTTTTCCACACTCCTCACATTTAAATGGTTTCTCTCCAGTGTGAATTATCTGATGGACTTGAAGATTGGACCTCTGGCTGAAGGCCTTACCACACGTGTCACATTTATACGGTTTCTCTCCGGTGTGGACTCTCTGATGGGCTTGAAGATGTGAGGCCTGACTGAATCGCTTCTGACACGCCTCACATTTGAATGGTTTTTCCCCAGTGTGGACACTCTGATGAGCTTGAAGATTTGAGGCCTGACTGAAACCCTTCCCACACTCCTCACATTTATAGGGTTTCTCTCCTGTGTGGACTCTCTGATGATTGTGAAGATTCAAGCTCCAATTGAACCGCTTCCCACACACCTCACATTTGTATGGTTTTTCTCCAGTGTGGACCCTCTGATGGGCTTGAAAATACGAACTCTGGCTGAAGCCTTTACCACACACATTACATCGAAATGGCTTCTCTCCTGTGTGAACCCTCTGATGGCTCTGGAAACTTGAGGCTGAACTAAAACCTTTACCACACTCTTCACATTTATAGGGTTTCTCTCCTGTGTGGACGCGTTGATGACTATGAAGATTAAAGCTCAAACTAAAGCACTTTCCACACTCATTACATTTGTATGGTTTCTCTTCAGTGTGGACTCTCTGGTGGGTATGAAGATTTGAGCTACAACTAAAGCGTTTCCCACAATCTGCACATTTATATGGTTTCTCTCCAGTGTGGATTCTTTCATGGGCCTGAAGATGTGATCTCTGAGTGAAGCCCTTCCCACATACCTCACATTTATAAGGCTTCTCTCCAGTGTGAACTCTGCAATGAATATTGAGATCTGTACTACGACTGAAGCCCTTCCCACAGCTTTCACATCTATAGGGCTTCTCTCCTGTGTGAATAGGCAGATGGGCATAAAGATGTGAGGTCTGATTAAAGCTCTTCCCACACTCATGGCACGAATAGGGTTTCTCCCCTGTGTGGACTCTCTGATGAGTCTGCAGGTTTGAGCTCTGACTGAAACCCTTCCCACACTCATGACACCAGTAGCGTTTATTTCCTGTGCAAACACTTTGTTGAACGGGAATAGCAGAGCCATAACTGGTGTCCTCCTCATGTGTACTATACATAGGGGACGACTTTCCCAAGTGTACCTGCTGATGAAGTTCAAGACTGGAGTTATCACTGAAGGCTTTTTCACATTCATTACACTGGTAGGTTTTCTGTCTGGTGTGAATTATACTGCGCTGGGCAAGAGGTGATACCTTTAAGATGTCTTCACCACAATCTTTGTTGCTGTGAGTTTCATCTCTTTTGTCTACTGTATCAGCATCACGGTGGTGTGAAACACAACTGAAAATGTTAACATATGGAGCAAATATACATAATTTGTTTTTCATCTCAGTCTGCTCACAACTTCTCTGATAATTCTGTGTCTCATTCAGATATATTTTGCTCCAAGAATTCGGAGCTCTCTCAGTTGGAAATTCTTGATTTTCAATAATACTGGAGTGATCCTCTATAAGATTCATGATACAGGTGTCATCCACATAAGCTTGAATGGATACTCCTGTGCCCAACTGACAGGGGGAATTACACTGTCGGGAGAACTGAGAACTCCTTCTTTGACTATTTATCATGGAGTCTTGACTTTTGGTTAATTTGCTCCCATGTTTCTTGATTTGCCAGCACGACAGCTCTCCCAATGAGATGCACCTTACTCCTGCTTCATGAAGAGTCTCCACCTCATTCTGACTTCTGCTTTCTGAAAGAATTAAGGACAGAGAGAGTGACATCAGCAAGATGGTGGACTAGGAAGCTCCAAGCTCTTGTTCCCCCAGGGAAACATTAAAAAAGCAATTAGAGACCAGCGAAAATAAGTTTATTAGAGTTCTGAAGAACAGTCAAAGGCCTACAGCAACCAAGTGAACGTCCAATCAAGAAAAAGCCAGATTTAAAACGGTATGAAATTTGGGATCAGCCCAGAGTGAGGGTTTAGGCTCTTCTCAGGTCTTTTCGGAGCACGTTTCTTGCCTGCGGCTGTGTGAATGCTTTTTCCAATTTCCCACTCTACACAACTACTTTTAAATGTTTTGGAATTTTTACTTGTGGTACCATGTGCTCTGAAGGATGCAGCAGCCCACCTCCCTACCTCAAACTCGGCAGGACCAGAGCAGACTTTCTTCACAATATTCTAATCTGCCTTTGGGTTGCCTGAAGAACTGGTGTCTGCTTTGTCTGACTTGAAGAAAGGATAGAGAAAAGCCATGGAAATCAGCAGTAGACATTGCTCGTGGAAGCTGCAAGGAGACTACAGACCTGTAGAAACTTAGGAAAAGAGACTGTGTGTGAAGGAATCCACTAGAACACCAAGTCCCTGAAAAGCTGGGGTGACACTTTTTGGGAGATTAAGAGATTTAAACCCATCTGTGTATACAAGGAAATCGGAAAAAAGTACACACACGGGCCCAGGAAAGACATTAGTTCAGGAAAACACCTGAGTGAGACCTTTAGCCCTCACTCTGGGCAGATCTCAAGGCCCAGAACGCGCCCTGCACATCAGTGAAGCTCTTCCCCAGAAAAGAGCCAGTCTGCAAAGACTGGTAGAGGGGGCTATTTTCTCAAATACTCAACTTTCAACAACAACAAAAAGCAATAAAAGCATACAAAGAAACAGGAAAATATGGCCTACTCAAAGGAAGAAAATAAAGTTGCAGAAATAAACTGTCTGTGAAAAAAGGTATCATAAGTACCAAAGACTTTAAAACAAATGTCTTAAATATACTCAAAGAGCTAAAGAAGAGAGTCACGTAAGCAAGATGGAGAGTAGGAAGCTTCAGCCCTTGCTCCCACACAGGAACAGCAAGTAACAACATACGGACAAAAGTCGATTTGAGAACTTTAAAAACCAGTTAACAAGCTGCAGCAACTAGAGAACATCTAACCAAAGAAAAAAGCTGAACTCAAAACAACAAAATTTCCGAGCGTTTCCACTTGCTCTACCCTCACTGACACAGTGTGGTGTGGTTGGCAGGAGGCTGCCCAGTCCTGGCTCCTCCCTCAGGAAGGAAAGGAAGGAACAGAACTTGCTTACAATGTTCTGGCTAGTCTGAATAATGCCCATGTGACTGGTTTCTGTCTCATCTGACTGAGCACTGATGGGAACAGTGGCATAGTTTTCAGATCAGTACAGTAAAAATGCAACATAAAAGATAAAAAATGGTACACCTGTATGGGGCACTTACCATGAATGGAGCTTGCAGGGCTGCAAGTTGCTCCGGGTGATTGAGTGAGTGGTGAGTGAGTGTGAAGGCCTAGGACATTACTGTACACTACTGTAGACTTTACAAACACCATACACTTAGGCTACACTAAATTTATTGAAAATATTTTTCTTTCTTCAATAAATTAACCTTAGTTTACTGTTAACTTTTTTACTTTATAAAGTTTTTAATTTTTTTTAACTTTCTCTTTTGTAATAACATTTAGCTTAAAGCACAAACACTGTACAGCTGTACAAAAATATTTTCTTTCTTTACATCCTTGGTTTATAAGCTTTTTTCTTTCTTTTTTTTTTTTTTTTTGGTGAGGAAGACTGGCCCTGGGCTAACATCTATTGCCAATTCACCTTTTTTTGCTGAGGAAGATTCGTCCTGAGCTAACATCCGTGCCCATCTTCCTCCATTTTGTGTGTGGGACGCCACCACAGCATGGCTTGATGAGCGATGCATCAGTCTGTGCCCAGAATTCCAAACTTTGAACCTGGGCCACTGAAAACGAGCACGCAAACTTAACTACTATGCCACCGGGCTGGCCCCTGCCTTTTTTCTATTATTAAAACTTTTTATTTTTTAAATTTTTTTGTTAAAAACTAAGACACACACACACACACATACATTAGCCTAGGCCCACACAGGGTCAGGTCAATATCACCATCTTCCATCTCCACATCTTGTCCCACCGGCAGGTCTTCAGGGGCAATAACATGCATGGAGCTGTCATCTCCTATGATAACAATGCCTTCTTCTGGCATTCCTTCTGAAGGACCTGCCTGAGGCTCTTCCCAAGGTGTCACTCTCTTCCTAAATATGTCCATGGTGGTTTGCTTCTTTTATTCATCATAGATTTCCTTGTAAGCCAATAATGCAGCATGAACATTCCTCTCTATGAATGAAAACCTTTTGGTGTTGGTGTCCATGTTTTCAAACTCTTTAAGGAGCTCATTGAGGTCTGCAAATGCTTATGCTAAACCCCTGACTGTGAATTTCCTTGGGGTTCTTCTTTTTCTTCTCCTGTAGTTTCCTCTTCTCTTGCCTCTTCTTCACCTGCACGTTCCTGTTCCAGTTCCAACAACTCATTAGTCAATTCCACAGAAACCCCCTCCAGGAGCTCCTCAATGTCATCCTCATCCACACCCAGGTTAAACTTGTTTGCCATCTCAGCCACAGCCTTGTTGATTTTTGCAACCTCCTCATCCTTAACAAATCCTTTGAAGTCATGGACAAACCTCTTGAGTGTCTTCTTCCTTTTTTTTTTTTTTT